AGGTTTTTGGCGCGGGCTTTGGTTCAGCTGCCAGCTCTGGCTCCGCTGACTCTTCCTTATCCAACAGCACAATGTCTCCATCGACATCGTCGCGCGAATACTCGCACTCATGCGTGGATACATACTGCTCGGTCAGCTTCTCGCGATCCCCCTCTATTTTGTGTGTGAACCCTAAGTGGTTGACTATGTCGTAGCGGCGAAAAGCGCGATAGTCGCATATGGTGCAGCCGAACCGGCGTGCCCGATAGTGGAACATGGATATGTGACGCCGCAAGTTTCCGATTGCATTGAATGCCTTATTGCAGATCTTGCAGCGGCAGCGCAGCTGCTTCTCGACTGGCACATTGCGCTTCTTCTTTATTTTCGGCTTTGTTTCATCGTGGGTGGTCTGCTCGTCCAGTTCCCGATCCTCGTGGTCGCCGTGCTCGTCCTCGCTGTTGGATGCCTCATCGCTGGATAAATCGCTCACCTGCTGCAGCTGCAGTTTGTCCAAAGACACGGTCTGCAGCTCCGGCACATATTTATCATTCTGCTCGGCTAGGCCGGCAAACATTTCATTGAGCGTAGCGGGGTCTATGTTCTGCATATCCACTGAAACAGAATTGGGACTCTCCTCGACCATCTCCTTATTGGATACGTTTTCTCCATTTGAGTTTGATTTGAGCTTCTTTACGACTGGTGCTGGCTTGGCCAGCGCTTCTTGCTTGGCGCGACAGTTGAGCAGATGCGTAGAGAGTGCAGCACGGCGCTCAAACGACTTCTCGCAGTAAATGCATAAGGACATTATCTTGCGCTGCTCTCCGTTTGCATCTGTATGCTCAGTCGCGTGGCCGACCACATCGTCGGACAGTTGCAAGCGCTTCAGCTCACGGCTTGGTCCCTTTGGCTGAATATCGCCCTGCTGCTTACGGCGCTTCAGGATTGTGTTGCGCATCATGCGTATGCGTCGCGTTGGTTTTCTGGGAATACGAAATGATATTTTAGCCACAATTGGGAATGTGCAGCGAGCATACACACTTGTGATCCTTGGAAAGGTGACGGATGACAGCTGCGGCCTGCAGAAAGGTGAGCGAGCAAGCCGGACACTGAAACACAAACGCAGATGATGAATGATGCTTCTGTATGTGCAGCTCGAGTGTCTTTTGCGTCTGAAATGTCAAATTGCCTGCGACATGAAAGAAGAAACAGCAGAACAAAAAGAGAAGGTAATAAGTGCAAAGCCTACTTGTCAATAATCGTATCATTCGATATATTACATATTTCACAGAAGATGTTTGTTTCAGCTTCGTCGCTGACCGACTGCTCTGGAGTTTCTGCCGAATCGCTGCCACTCGGTCGCTCGTAGTGATTCGTGTTCAAGGCTTTGCCATCGGGTCCCACAATGGTTTGCTCAGGATTGAGCATATGATGGACCTCGTTCAGCTCTGTTTTAATGCTGTCGTCCTGCTCGACCTTAATCGTCTGGTAGACCGCCTGACTGGATGTGGGCACCGACTCCAGCTGCAGCACTGGCAACAGCTGCTTCACAGCAGCCGATGGCGCTTTCTCGCGTCGCAAGCGTTCAATGACGCCGCTCAGGTCGCGCATGCTGCCGCGTATGGGACGAACCTCACGCGGCACTGGCGAACAGCCTGTGCTGCGGCTGCGAAGCATGTGGTCAATATCCTGAGAGGCGGATGCCTGAATAATCATGGTCGAGTTTTGGTCCTGCAAACAAAGTCATTTAGTACTATATAAAAGCAATCCAATTGGAGTTCTGAATTGGACACTGGCTTTACGGCTAACTCACTGTGTGTCCGGAATTGTGGCTTGTTAAACGCGCACTGACGCAGCAGAAGACGCGTTTATGGCTAATGAAGTTGGCTAAGCTGCGAAACATATTGCGGCACACGTTGCACTCATAGATGAGGCTGCACTCCTCGCTGAGCAGACGTCGCACCTGTATGAGGCAATGGGACACGATTTAATGATTGGATTAGGTAACAGGCACACCCACACCCAGCCCTGTTCACTCACATACACACACGCCTACATATGCATGGAAATATTAGTACAATGAAAGCAGCTAGGGCTCGAATTATTTCAATTGTGTTGTGAGCCTAAAGAGTTGGTTTACATATATATATATATATATATATATATATTATTTTTTTTTTACGTTTCTTTTGTACGCCCAATGCATATGTCAATACAAAGACAGTATTTTTTCCAAGTGAGTAAAACATTTAATTATGACTCAAAGCGTTTGATTTGGATGGGAGTTGCGGGCGTAAAGGACCTGTCAGCTATTGAGCCTTGATCTCATGCTCATAGAGTTGGTTTATATTACGCCATTTGTGGACCTAGTTGGGTCACGTACGCAGTTCGCCTACACGCTTACGCCTATTGGCGCTTCCGCTTACCTCTCTGGTGCCATTCTCATAGGCACGGCGCGCCTCCTCGAAGCCCGTGTGGGCCGTTTGGAGCGGTCGCTGCAACAGGCTTAAGTCGTTGCCATCGTTCTCCATCTTCTGTGTATCCGAATTGCAGCGCGAGTTACGCTTCTTCATAGTTGCGGTCAGTTTATGGTTCCCGTTTGGGAAAACCTACAAAATCTGTTAGTTTCCAACTTAATTACACTTGTACACACTCATGTGCAGATTGCACATGCTAATATGTTATTTTTATTAATTAAAATCGGATGTTGTATACCACTTTAAACCTGCATATTGCACATTTCTTTACTATTGCAGTTTTTGCTTATTTTTGTTCTCGCTATATTGCAAGAGAGAATTTCATTCTCTTCTCGCTCGATTGATTTCGATGTTAGCCAACACTGCATTCTTCGCAACATTCTGTGCTCACGCTGGAAACATTTACAGGCACGAGATAACCTATCGATGAGTGCAGCACACAGCAACGCTGGACTGCGCGCGCACTTAAGTGCTGTAAAGTGTTGTGCTGAGTTTTTCAAAATAGCTCCCACCCAATCCGAATCATATACTTTTTCCTTTCTATATATATTTTAGAAGATTTATTCGCTCAAGCTTGTTGTTTTTTGACAATATGTATTGTAATACATTTTATTTATTATTCATTTACTAATGCTAAACAAAGTTAGTGTTTGTTATTATTCACGAATACATAATTTTTGAGGTTTGGTTTCCTTCTCTATTTTCATCTTGAGTATGTTTTTTGTTTTTTAAAAAGCGTTTGTCATAAAATAAAGTGGTTAAATATTTGTTTGCACTGCAGTTTACCATAGTTGAAGCTTGTTATGTATATGTATAGGCATAAATATATTGTTATTGTTTTGAAAACTCAATTATTTGTATACATATATACTTGGAGAGATAATTATGTTTGATTTATTTTCAAATTTTGCATCTACATTTACTTTATTTTTACTCTTTTAGGATTTCGTGGTATTTAATTGTATTTTTGAAAATATATGCATTTGGTATTTGGTATTTGGTGTAAATAGCGTGTGGCTTCATTAATATTACATCATTTAATTGTGTACATTTATAAGCAGAAATGCTACATATTTATGAATGCATTTAGGTATGTATGTAAATATATAATCTGTTACATCTTTATTGAAATACATTACTTGCATTGTAATTAAATGTTAGACGCAATATACGCGCGACAGAAGAACTTGAGTTGACTTGATTCGCTACCGATAAACGTTTGCCTTTAGCAATTTCCATTGGCTGCTGTTTCTTTTTGTTTTTCTTTTTTTTGTTTTTGTTTTTGATGAGTAAATTTGTATAAAGGTTAAGGTAATGCGTTTATCTTTAGTAAGGCACTAGTCACACGCTAGGCAGCCAACTCTCTCGCGCTGAATCATCATCGATTAGAGTCTGGGCCCGCTGCCTAACGTGTAACTACTGACTACGACATACAAATCCCTCTTCCGTATTCCGACCAAAGTTTAAAGCTTTTACGTGTACAATTAGATTTAGCGTATTCTTTACATTTAGTTTTTACTTGTAGTTCATTTTTTTCAATTTCTTTAGCTACACTGACGAACTAAACTGTTTTGCAAAACAAGCAACGATGCCTACTAAAGATATTATGGAGGAGGGTCTGGAGGATCAATCTCGATATGGAGGGATTAGCCACTATTTGACTACAGTTCATTATTTATATTTTATATAATATGGATGCATTGGGGCTTGTCTTGTTGGTAGGTTGACGATTTTGTGTGTACGTTGAGGCTGAGGCTGATAGTTTACTGTATTTGTTGACGTGGTTAACACAGGATATTATTATCATTATCATTATCAATATCATTATTATAATTCACTTGTTGCGCGCTCTTCGCACAGACAGAGAGTGAGAGATAGAGGCTAGTTATACAATATCTAACCTATTTTGTTATATGTAGCATCATTGGGGAAGAGATAGAGAAAAAGAGGAAAAAAAGTTTTTATAGTTAGCGCTTGAACTTTCTTAGTACAATTGATTTTTTAGTTTCTTTTGATTACTGCCCCATGACAGACTATAGCTAGGTTTAATTTTAACATATCAGTTACATACAAATTGGGGGGAAATGCAACTGCAGAGGCTGGCCGTATTGCTATGAGCTAGTCCAGACATCCTTTGCAACTCTTATGCGCAAGCAACTATGTTAAAATGTTGTATCAAAATCCTCTTTTAGAATGTCATGTGCACGTTGCATGTGTTCAAGGTCAATGTATGTGTTTGTCTGTGTGTTTGTGTAATGCGCAATGCTTTATAAGCTACTCTAAGCTACATACATACGTAAAGGGTATGCATGAGTTCATAATCCATAGCTAGCTTCGATTGCAATTGCCATTGTATATATATATAATTGTGTGTGTGTGTGTGTGTTTGTGTATATGATGGGTGTGTCTGGGAGCACATGCATAGCAGGACTAACAACTAGATACATAAGTGCAGGATGGCTACTACTCAACTTTAGCTTCTAATATATACTATATTTAGGCATACAATTTAACCTAGATAGACATGGATGCTTGCTTAAAATTTAAAAAAGTTTCTTTTAGGTTTATTATAAAATTTCACATTGTTTAAAAAGGTTGTCATGATTTTTCGTTCTGTTACATGTTATAAATGTATTGTTTATGTTGTGTATGCTTGTTGTGAGAATGCGTAATGCGCTTATTGCTTTCGCTCTGACATGTACAATGAGATTCGCATATTACTTACATAAGGTTAACTCATAGAACAAATCATAAATTAGACATTAACTAAATCATAAACTGACAATAAAATGTACACTTAAAATCAAACATAATCGAATTAAAACTTATAATTAGCGAGCAAGGAGATATTTAAACTGAACTTAAACCATAATCAGATATATGTATATATGTATGTGTGTGTGTGTGTGTATGTGTATGTCGAACATAGGCATAAAATTTAATTAAGAATAGTTGTATATTTCATATGATACATAAGGCCTTAGTAGGGATGTTATCGAATTCAATTCTTAAAATGTACATCAAATTGTTTTCATATAACGCTCTGCCAAACTTGAAAGCCAATCCGGTGAAGATTCATTTTGGGTGTTTCGTATGGAGGTGGAGGATGTGGCTAGTGAGCGTGCCTTTTTATATGCTGTGAGGCGTGTTCCTTGTGACACATATAATACAGTTCATCATATATGAATGTATGTTTGTATGTATGTAGGTGTGTCGGTATATATATATAGAAATATATATTTATATATGCACGCAAGTATAACAACATGTGCTAAACATATGCAATATTTTTATATTAGTTTGGTATCATTTTAGTTTTCGAATTGTCTTGTTGCTGTTGTTGTTGCTGTTTGTTTGTTGTTGAATTGTTTTGATTACGACTGTATTGTTTTTTTTTTTTTTTTTGCATATATCGAAATTTTTCAATTTGTATACATTATGAATAATGCGTTTTTGTTTAGTTCAAGAACTTTGCTACTGTTATCATTATGAGGTTGGCCAACAGGATGCAAATGCTTGATTCTGGCATATAGCTACCTCCGCTAACAACAATGTCTTTCTCCTCCAGCAACGGGTAGTCGATGACATGTATGATGCCATTGGTGCACTCAACGTCCGGCCGATACACATTTATCTTCTTGTAATTCCACGTGATCACATACCCTGCAATTAGATTATGAAGAGTGTTAGGAATATTTGATTCATATTCGGACTAAAACTCTAAGGGATATGCTCTGGAGCATACGGTGAGAGTTATGTTATGCTTGGAATGGAGCCATTTTCGATGGCTGTGGTGGGTGGCTAGTGCGATTGGTTGACTAACTGCAACACTCACCAGTCCATTCGTGACTAGCATACTCATCATGTAGATCTTTTACATATATTGATTTGGAGTTGGTTAAATACAAAGCATGAGATTTTGGTAAAGTCGAAGAGAAACAACATAAGTTAGTACAGATTATGGTACCAATAGCATCGAATCGAAATGGGTGCCCTAGGTGGTTACAATTAAATAACACTTACGTCCAGCCTCCTCATTGACCTTCATTTTGAGTGAATCGCGGAATGTGGGCAACACCACATTGTCGGTAGTCAGGGACATTTGAGCCAGATCTTTCATGGTAAACACATGATCCGCAATGACCAGATGACGTTCCAAAATGTATTTCGACTAAGAAGAGAATAAGAATTGTAAAATGTGCAAATGACGAAATAAATATGAATATTCACATGATATGCAAAGTCGCGCATGAAGAGCTTCTTGTGCGCCGAGGGATAGTCCAGTTCAGTCTTCTGCCAGCCCTTATCGCGGGGCACGAAGAACGTGTACCGACGCTGGGTATTATTCAGCTGATCGTTAAAGTTCGAGAATTGGCCCATTCGGTAAGTATCACTGTGGGGACAACAGAATTAGTAACAGAAGTAAACAGTGGGCAGTTTCCACCGGCTATTACCTCATCATGGGGTCGGTTTCCAGCTTGCCCAGCACTGTGGTGTGGGGCACGCCCAACACGTGGTCAATGATGTGCACATAGCCGTTGGTTTGAGCAACATCTGCCTGCAGGATGGTGGCATTAACGCCGCCGCCTTCAACAGTGATCTTGGCATCAGCGCCTTCGCCGATGATGTTAAAGTACAGGAACGTTCTATTGTTCACGGTGGGAACCTGAGCGATCTGGAAGCAAGAATATGAGCTTAATGTGTGAGTTTAAATATGATTTCGAGCAAATTCTTACCATATTTGCATTCTTTTGCCTGATCTTCTCGACGTTCAAGCGCTCCTTGATGATGTGCATGTTGAGAATATCAGTCATCCTCTTGCGATCTCTGTGAATAACAGTTGCTGCTTATATTTTATCTCATCTGAACAATCGATCAACTCACCTAACAATATTGTCAATGGATGAAGTATTCCAAGCTTCATTGCTGGGAGCCAAAATCGTTACTTCAGACAGATTGTTAATGCCATCCAGCACTGCGCCGCCAGAGTCCATGATGACCTCCAGGAACTTGCGCAATGCTCCGTTCTCACCGTTGTCCTTTAAAATAGAAACGCATTGGTCAGGACTAAGTGTGATTAAATAATTATATATTAATATATACAATTATCTTTGAAGTGGGGCTTAGCAATGTGTGTACATTTAGAATGGATTTTACAAAACATCAAGCATCTACATATCTCTGATATGATCGTATTTATAATATTAATAAGATAAGCTTTACATAGAATAAGAAAGAGATTAATGATTCCTATTAGTTCCTTCAGAACTTGTGATAATCTAAGCAATTGTGGCATAACTGATGAAATTCTTTGTGTGTTTGACTCGAATCAAGAGGATTAAAGATCAGCTCTTGATTTGATAATACACATTCGCTGGGTATGAGAGGCATGAGAAATAAAACGTTTCAATTGAAATTTGTGACCAGGCGGCGATTGGTGGTGTGTGGCTACTGGCTACTGGGTGAGGTCCATGGGCAAGCTGATGAGTGTTGTGGTTCAATTGATTGTGTTATACAATTACTTACGTTCACAAACTAAATCGGTACAATCATTGTACAACGGTTGGAAGTAGTAGTAGTAGTAGTAGTAGTAGAAAGAGCGTTATAAATTCATATTCAATGTTAAAAATTGAACAAATGTCATAAATATTGTGTGGGTGTGTGTCGTTAGGTACACGTTAACGAGTATTTTTCAGGTTCCGCGCAGTGTGGACGTTCCGCCACCGAGTTGGAAAATTGTTTGAAATAAAGTATTAGGGAAATAGAATTTATTCACTTTGTTGCGGAGTTACGTTAATAGGTAGATTGAAATTTCGATTTTGCAAGCATACTCTTATACCTTAAGTAAAGGTTTCTCAAATAAAATAAAATTAAAAAGGCAACAACTAAAATCGTACTTCTAATTTGCATTGTAATTTAGCGTAGCATGCAGTCATATTTTCGAGTCTGTTGCGATTGTCACCAAATTTGTTTTGCAGATTAAGATCTCAACATCTCTTTACGAAGACATCAAGTATTTTTACGCTTGATTAAAATGATCTGTCGTTCTGGGTTGCTTGTCAGCAATTAAAAGCCCTATATAAAACTAGCTTAGCTCAGCGTTTTTTATTAGAGATCTGTATATTCGCCTTAAGGGGCAAACCATAAGAGATCGAATTACTTTGCTTATGAAAAGTTTCTCTATTTTATATTCTGAAAACTTAAGAAATCACAAACTTAGTTACTTATTATATTCCTAAACCATATGCTAGCAACAAGCATTCAATTCTCGTCTTGTCAAAGATATTTTTCCTTATATAAATAGGGAGTTGTTATCGAAACAACTTGTTAAACTGCAAAACACATGCATAAATAAAATTGAAAATAATATTGAACTATTTCTGTTTTTACTGTTTACTTGCTTCTTGCATTTGAAAACATGCTGAGATAACGTGCTCCTATATAATCAATTATACAAAAATTATAGACAAATGAATATTGAATTACGAACTCAAACTGTATAGTACAAGTAACGGTACATAAATATATATGTATCTGTATAGCTAACTGCAATAAGAGTTGTTTACCTTGAACGACTGCGAAATGTTCAGATTTCAATTAGCGAGCGATATGGGATTTGCATGTACGAGAAACAGAATATAGATCAGTCGGTCAGTAAGGCGAATATGAGGAATGAGGAGTGCTTTGTTACAACAGAACGCAAAACAAACAGTTAGAAATGTATTAAATAATAAACAGTAAGATGAGCCGACATTGATTTGATTTCGAATGCAGAACAATGTATATAATGTATTATGCATATCGGATTATGACGGCGATCTCACATGAACGAGATGCGTCTACGGCTAGAGGAACTCAACATAATATTACGTTCAAGGCATGCCGACTGAGCGATAGATCGGGCGAGCTGAGAGCTGATATACGAGTATATAGTATGATTTGCTATGAATGGAGAAATGCTAAAGCCAATTAAGGACACTTTACAAGGACAGAGTGTGGTTCACCAATGCACTGGATCGAAAAATATGCAGGAACTGTGAATGAAGTTTTTTATGAGAAAACATTTTTATAATTTATTGCTAACTTGCGTAAGTACAAGCAAAGCCTTACAAATTTGCACTGTGCCAATTAATTATTTTGCAATTTTGATTATCAAATAATAGCAATTTGCTTGCAATTGTCGCTGAATAGGATTTTGGGAACTTTGGAGCTGCAGTTTGAAGACAAAGCATTTGAAATGAAATTAATTTTGATAGCAGAGCCAATTATCGCCTTGGAAATTGCAGCTCTTGTAGATTTTGATTTCATGATTTTATAATATAGAAGATAACAATTTGGTTAATTACATTAAATACATTGCTTTTCATTTTTTTGGTTGATTGATTGTTGGCAATACTTACATTACACCCAAAATTTTTTTAAAATAAAATTTGTACTTTAAAAATTATTTTAAAATAAAATTTTGCTATGATTCTACATGAAACCGAATCAATTCATTTTACGTGCAAAATCTGTTCCGACATTCATGTCGAGAACAAAACTTTACACTAATCTTTAGAGCTCGGAAATTCAGTTTTATGTAAAATCAGACTTTGGGCTTTCAATTTGGCAAGTGTAGCTATTGAGTTTTTGGGATCAAGCGTTGCCTTGTAATTTATATACATACGTATGTGTGTGTGTGTGTGTGTATGTATGTGTACGCGTTTCTATTGTTAATGTCAAGTTTATGTCGCTATTTGATACTTTTGTTTGGACTTTGCATATAGAAGAACGCTAGAAATGTGAGGCTCTCAAGCAGACGCATGCCACTTATTCCTGAGGAGCGCAGCTCAGCTAAATGCAAAGTATTATAGCGTATATATATATATATGTGTATGTGTTTGTATGTGTCTATGTGATTGCATTGTATTTATGTGTCTGTGCGCTTAAGCGTTTGCTGAGGCAGCTGGCACATGCAGCCACCCAGAGCTGAGTGATGAGCCAATCAAAATGCCAAGCCTTATCGCCAGTCATGGCCACTGTCTATTTATTATTATTACTATCTGTGTGGGTGTACGTATCTCTGTTTGGTATTTGCGACTGGGTGCTACGCCCACCTACCTGTAGAAATTGTGTGACGGTCGTATCGATGATCATGAGCGGGCGACGAATCAAATGGATGACACCGTTTTTCACGGGTATATTGGCCTTGACAATCTCAGACAGGACCACGCCCTCCGGATGCTTGGCATCGCCGACAATTGTATTGGACTTGACATACACTAAACACAGAGAATTACATGAATGAGGGATAATAACATCTCCGGCAATTATCTATCTCACTTTTGCCGTCCTTTTGCTTGAAGAAGCTCACGGTGACCTTCAGTTGATCCTCAAAGGCAGCGGAAGTCTTGGGCTCGTCGTGTTGCGAGGCGGCAGTGAAAATGACAGTGTTCGGTATAACGTGACCGTCGATGACCTTGCCATCCACCAAACTGCTGCGGGTCGTTATCTATATGAAATATAATAATACAAACGATGAACTGAATAATTGAGCAGGCAAATATATTGTCTGATGTCTGCACTCACCTTGAAGCCCTCGTCCACGGGCAGGAGGAAGGTGTGCGCTCCCGGCGCATTATACAGCGATTCCTTCTTCATCAGCGCCAGCTGGGAGCGATAGGTGCGCAGTTTGTTGTCGCCGACACTCAGCTGATCGGCCTTTTGTATAAATTGCAGGGCATCGAGATTATTGATTTCTGTTTTGGCAGTTGGCAGCGCAGTGAGTGGTTCCAGGACCTCGTCAATAATATGCATGACCTGCGCAATATATTAGTCATATTTTTAAGTATTTAGTATATATGCATGCATTGTCACTGCGTTAATATTCAATCGAAAGCCTGGTCACTGACCTGACGCTTGCCCTCGCGGTTTGTCAGCTCGACGCTGAGCGAGGGTATGATGCGGGCATTGTTCACATAGATGTCACCATTGCGGCTCTTTGTTATGTAGAGCGGCGGATTCCCTTCCATGTCCGATGACACGGTCTTTTCCAGTTGATCTTTACTGAACGCCGCCGTGGCTAAACGTGGGAAAAGGGCATTTTAATTAAATAATTCACATGAATCATGATTGCATACTACTACAAATACTCACTGATGTGATAGAGGACATGGGTGGGACCCTTGTGGCGCTGGAAGGCTTCGTTAGTGGGCACAAAGATGGTGCAGGAGCGCAGCGAAAGTGTCGCATTGGCAACAGGATTCTGCTCCAGCAGACTATAGAACTGCAAGCATAAATAATTGTACATGTGTTAGTGTGCATATTAAGTTTTGTAGGACAGTGTTGTTAGCATGCTTTGAAAATATCGAACCAAACGAAATCATGCATTGGGGGAGAGACTAAGAGCGAGTGAGGGAAAGAGAGAGGGAATCGTCGACTGCCTTTTGGCAAACTAACGACCTGTGTGCCATTTTATTTGCAATTCCATGGCAACGTCAAACAACTGGTAAAACTATGCAGAGCTTGGTCGCCCAGCAAAAAGTTTATTGAACCAATTACGTAAGCAGGCGCAGCTCGATGTGGCCCATTTGGCCATTTCAATAATAAACTACATGTATCCTAAATTGTCATGTGTCATTATCGAGCGCCTGATGTCGATCGGGACTCACACTGGCAGTGGCAGTGTCACATGGTGGAAATGCATTTTCCAGGCGCAGCTACCCTACATAACAGACGCTGACCCTTTTGGGCCAGCTACCACCTGCCTGGCGACACATGCGACCGCACACTTTGCGGCTTCCCAATGTGGCACCGCCAGCACCCACCACCGCCATTAGCAGCAGCTCCGCTTTGCATCGACACGCCTCGGTGCACATTCTCAGCCAGCTTTATGAGCATGTACGATATGTAGCTCACTTTTTTTCAAATTGACCGTCTCTCTTTAGGTGCTTGTGTGTGTGCGTGTGCATGTGTATGCGTGTGCATGTCCTGCACCTTTTTTCGTCTCACACATTATGCTTTGTTTTGGTGTTTTTTTTGTCCTTTCGTAGCCGGTGAGTCACGTCAATTCTATTTGAAAGGCTGCTCGACAACGCTCGACGACCCTCGACTCGCCGCTCACCGCTCGCAGCTCGTATCTTGGTTTTGGCTGCGCCATCACAGGACTTTTTAGTAATTGGAGACGTCAGTTGTCGCTGTCGCTGTCGCTATCGTCCTGCAATGTTATCGCCGCAATTTAGTTGTTTGGTTTCCATTTCGCTTTCTAAATGCTTTCCTCTATCTCTTCTTGCTCCACGGTTTGGTTGGCTGCCAGAGAATGCGCTTATTGGTTAAGTGAACTGTGGCTAGCCGGGACGGGATATCGCCATGGGGTCAATCTGATTCCCGGCTAAGTGCGCGTAAATGTTCCCTTTACAGCTTAAAGCCAATCGAGTGTAAGGACGGATGGCATAAAATAAACTTTGGCTTAAACTGCATATTAAATGAGTTGATTTGTGGACTACTCACGGACTGCTAATCTAAGCTTTTCTTATGCAAATTATTTGCTAAATTATAGAACATATATATTTACAGTTACTTCTAACTAAATGATGTTATGTTTAAGAAACATTAAAGAAAGAATTATTAAAAAACGCTAACAATAAATCTACTTTAACATGTGATAGCACATACATATATACACAAATTTACTAAGAGATATTATCTCTGATGAGACATTTAACTGACTGAATTTTGTGAATAAACCATTAATAACATTGAAATATCTAAAAATTACTTTAAAGGCTGCTAATGAAACTTGAATAGAATCCCTGATTGGGGTTGCTCATGTGACCAATAGGGCAATCCAGCTGCAATTACTTATTTGCATGAATTGGAAACATAATCAAATGCTAGCCAGATCAATCTATATGGCTTTCAGCGATATAATCCTGTCAACCGGGCTGTCAGCGTCCAGTCATTGCTCCCCTGGGTGTACAAACAACTGTCAACTGTAATTCATTATCAACTCCCATTGCCAAAACAATTTCAAGAGCGTGGCACACACACACACACTATTACACGCATAATGCCAACTTTTCTTAAATGGCGCTAGTTCTCATATTTATGTAGATGAGGGGAGACACCCTTCGAGTAGAGCTCGACTGTTACAAAAACTGCATTTGATTTTCATGCGCAGCTCGCAGTGCCAATGAACTCTGCCTGGCAAAGAGAGAGGAGACTGGAGAGAGAGAGAGAGAGAGAGAGACAGAGAGAGTGGAAGTGGTAGCTGGCACAGCACAGCGTAGCACCCTCTGCCCTGCCCACTCCAGCTGAAGTCAAGGGCATCGTGAGTCAGAGCGCCAGACGGCGGTGCAAACAAATTCGGCTAATGCAGCCAGAGTGCTGGTCATTGGCAACCCCTGGCAAGGGCCAAGGGATGGGCGACGGTGACGCCCACTCAGAGGCAGGGACAACCCTTGTTTCAAGTTTATTAACGAAATTAAGGCAAAAACATGTAACGGCTTTTTCTCTTTTACATTTCTAAAGATAACAGTTGTTGTAGAAAGTGTAGTTGTGGTTGTTGTTGTTGTTGTTGCAGCTTACCCTAACTGGCATAAGGCGCTTGAAGCTTTTGGCAGTACTCTGAAAGAGATAGAGAAAGAGAAAGAAGAAAGAAAGAGAGAACCGCTTGCAGTTCAAATTTTGTTTCGCAACTCGCATTGTTTTTGTGTGTGTGTGTTTTAGCCAAATTTATGAAATTTGTCCTAGACAAGGAATCAAATAATCTACTATTACGGGGGCATGTGTATGTATGTATATGTCTGCATATTTATGTATGTGTGTGTGTGTGTGGGTTGGCAATATTTAAATAGGGGCGTGGCATATAGTTGGACGTCAGCTAATGGAGTCACTGCTACATACAAAACGGGACAAAACAAAAGCCGGTTTAAAGAGCTATCGGGCTTAACTCCAACGATTGTTCTAAGAGCCACAAACTGTAGCCCGATGTTGTGCGGACTATAACTGATACATTCAAGTTAGAAATATGATAGCCAACTATATGAATCCTAATTTGGTATCTACGGTTCGTATAATAGCAATACCATATATGGTATTTACATATCTATTCCAATATACATATTGATTGATTGGACTGCTACAAACATGGCCAGCATATCAAGTTGATACCAATCAAGCCCATGGACAATTAGGGGTCGTAGATCTCTCTTTTTGTGCGTGTCGCCTGACCAGCTTCCTGAGCAGCCGATGATCATAATCATCCATCAGCTGCAGCCGTTGCATAGCGGGTGTTTCTGTACTCAAATTTAATTGGTACAAATTATGCATACATGTATGCATGCATGTACATACATGAGCACATGTTAAAGTTTTTGGTATATAATTGTTTCAATCCCCTCGAGTTATGTCTTAATTGGTGTTGAAACAGCGGCCAGACTGAGAGAGCTGTTGGTGGAGAGGGGTAGCTCCGTTCGGGAGCTGCATCGGTCGTCAGCTGGATGGATCTCTAATGCATCTCGCACAGATCTTTAAGTAATTGTGCATGTGTATGCGCGTTTCCATAGGCTCCATTAAGGTCACTCGCTCATTCACGTTCAGCGCTCTGTAATAGTTTTATTCATATTCGTATTCGTGTTCGTATTCGTCTTCGTAGAATAAGAAGCTCATATAACGTTGCAAGCCGCTACATATCACGCGCCGCGCCATAGATTGTATAAGTATTGTAATCTTAAATTAAATTTAATTGAATTCGATGCTGTCGTTGATGGTCCAGTTGATGTGCATATATAAATGTGTCTGTGTCTGTGCCTAGGTCGTTCAGCGCTATTGAGCATATGCCACCCACACACAAACACACAAACAAACACGTGGCACAAGCGTGCCCCAGCCGTTCTCAGTCAAAGGTTAGAAATTAAAATGAGAATGAGAATGATAAATATAAATGCAATGTGCAGCAAGATGACGTCGCAACGTCACGAGCCGCACACTCAGGACAGGAAGCTTGGGGTCAGCCCAGGAGGTCAACCGTACAACGCCCGCACATAGCGGGCAGAGCGGCACAGAGTGCGGGATCTCGAGCTACCACAGATGCGCTCTGCCATTCACATGCGACTCATCCTTAATGAGTTTCGATGGAAACTGCTCGCGAGTCTGTCGTACATTTCTCTGGGATGCGATGAAATTTGTAATTATAATAATAGCTTCATGTTTATTACGAAAATATACCCGAAAATTGTATGCATCTATTCAAGGCGTGAACAACATGATTGAAAGAGGCTGTCGAAAAAAGTGTAATATTTCGTGTACAAATAATAATTATGATCTTACAGATTTAAAAAAAAAAAAAAAAAAAAAAAAAACTATAGGATAAATTACTCAAAACTTAATTACGTTGTAAACGATTGTATAATGATTTATATTTTAAAATCTACATATGATCATTTATCGCCACATTATAGAACAGAAGTAATTGAGATTCAAATATCTCACATACCTATCGCTATATCTCAGCACTAATCGATCTTGATGAGAGTTATAACGATGTAGGTATCTGAAATAGAGTCTCGCTTAAAATCCGTAACTTTTCAGGAAAGCAAAAGTATTAAATGTGAATTTTCTGGCTGAAGAGGTTTTCTAATATATGATGTATGTATGTAGAAGACTTTGGCAATTGCACAGTATCCGATTAGCAACAAGATGATGCCGCTAACCACCCATCAACACGCTCTGTTTGGCTGTAGCTGTCGCCTCTACACTGGTTACCCCACATATGTACGTTGGCGACACAGATGTACATAAGGTAACAATTGTCAGGTAACGGCAAAGGTACTGCATATATCATTTCATTGTGGCGACAATTACAGGTGAGGCAGCTCTCGGTGAGCAGCTCGCACGCTTTCTTTTCAATTGTGAAACTAAGTTTTGCTGCTTGCTTTTCAAAATGCTCGCTGGCTAGCAACTATTTTTGGCATTAAATGGTTAACAGAGTAGAACGCCAGACGGACGGACAATTGCTGTTGTTGTTGTTTTTGTTATCGTAGTTGTTGTTTTAGGTTGGCAACCTTTAATGGCTTCTGACTTTTTACACTTTTATGTGTTGCCCATATGCCTGTGTTGAAGGTGTAAAAAGGCAAACATAAATATGTAGGTAGAAAACTGTTATGCTCTGTCGACGGCAACGGCCGGCTCCCGCTTGGGCGTGTTGTTGCTTTTGCATAATTTATTTAGTTTTTAGTTTTATTATTTTTTTCATATAATGGGTTCAGCATGCATACGAAATGTGCTCGCACTCGAACTTTGCTCTAGCTGCGTTGCGTCCTAACGTGGATTTTGGGTAAGCATCGATTTTTCACCAGCAACAACAAGTGTAAATGCTAAAGGTCAAGGACGTGCGAGAAGAAGCAGCCAGCAAGCAGCTGCGACTCACAGCTACCTGTGTGGGTGCACTTCTGTCTCTTTCTCTCTCCATCTCTCTCTTATGCTCTTGCTTCTCTTTCCGCTTATCAACTCTCTTTGGCCAAGGATTTTCATTTCAAGGACAATCCCCGATAGGCTTGACCAAATGTCACCCAGGTGTATCTGTGTGTGTGCGTGTGTTGGCCAACAACTAATTGCATTGCATGACTAAGGTGTACAAGTGTGCATGCGTGTGTGCATGTGTGTGTGTGTTTGTGTGTGTCAAAGTGTATGTGGCTACGTGTAAACAACTTGAGATACGCCTAAGAAACAGCTGGTTAAGCACCTACAGAAATGTGTTCTCTATGCTGGGCTGAATATTAACTGTGTGGTTTGCATACTGACTCACCTGTGAAAGTTCCGAATCATCGCGCAGTTTGTCCGCCAAATCGGCGGCAGCTGCATGCGTTGTATAGCAGCAGAGCAGCAGCAGCGCAGCTAATGCGCTCGGTCCACGGCCTACAATCATTTTACAACACTCGCGCACTTGTTATTCTCTTTCTTTTTATTTTTTGCTTGCTGAAACGACGCAACAGCGACGACGACGACGACGATGACGACGGCGACAGCGGCAGCGGCTTCAACGGCGACTTTTGAGGGTTGGCAGTATTTGTTACTGTATTGGTGAGCGCGCGTCAATGCGATAAATATCTGCAATTTAAGCGCAAAGAACACACATAAATAGATACATATATAATCATATCAAGCAGCAAAGAACCCCCTCCTCTCCACAACCCTCACATAAACACCCAAATGGTACGCACTTCTGCAGTGTTCACAAAAAAATCGTTGACTCGGCTTTTAAAATTGCACTCCCTCACACTGTCACACTCGCTCGCACACACACGCAGGCAATCCAATACCGTTATGTCACATAAGCAGCACAACAGCCGTCCAAGAAGAAGCAAAAATAACTAAAAACTCAAGAGGGAAAGCTTAGCTGCGCTTATTGTTGTATGTTGTTGCTACTGGTTATTTGTTGTTGTCTTTTTGCTTGCTTCTATTTTTTTATGCACATTCCGTTTATGTATGGTCATTGTTCTCAACTGGGAACGTTTCGATTGCCGCTGTACGCTTTCTGCTGCTATTCGCGGCTCTCGTTCTAACAGCTCAAGGAGAAGTTCTTAAAAAAAAACTAAGCCAAACCAAGCCAAGCCACTGCAGTGGGCACTAACTAAATTATGCAATGCGCCTCCGGGCAACCGTTGCCTGCCGCGTAACACTTTTTGGCATCTGCAAGTGAGCCGACTTTTTCTCCTCTCTTGTACTAGCAGATATTGGCAATCAATAGTTACGTACATACGCTTACACCACTTATTTTGCACTTCTTTTATACATATACAATTATATTGGGAGCACTGGCAGAAAATCTATACTAAGCGCAGCAGCAGCAGCAACGCTCGGATTTGAGCAGTGCCAAATTCCCACTGAAGCCACCACAGCAGTCAATACAACCAAACAATACCGACACAATTACGTACGCCACGCTTCAACGTTTCGATGCAACTAAGCCGAGAACAGGTTTCAAGCACTGTTAAAAGACACTCAATCGTTTGATTCAAGAGAGGGCGGTACATTAACAGACCTACAAGATGTCAGCTATGAGTGCTGTTATTGTGCTGTTGCACTCATTGTGGACTGTTAATCGATTTGAATATTAACTGACACACTAGTAATCGATAAGTTTGAATTAAGTCGACATTTATTTATGTTTTTTAAATGAATTTAATTCTATTATTACAGACACAAAAAATATAAATTGATAACTTTCATGTTAAAAAGAAACATAAAACATGCGTTTCATTAGAAAGTAGGGCTTTGGTACCTTAGTATCTTCGATTTTCGCTTGCCAATGCTAATTTAATACAAATTGTTTTACATTTAACGGTTTCTTAACGGTTCAATATTTAACAGACTAAAGTTAAGGGTGACCATAAAATCAAATAAATAATGTAATCAATTACAGAAAAAATACTGCAAATATTGTATGGTTCAAAAGACCACTCATGTAAGACTATACCATCAAAGAGTCAACGCATTAATAAAAATAAAAATTAAATTTTTTTTGTTAGTTGAAAATGATTTCTGTGTCCAATTATAGTGAAAGACAACTCTTGAATATAATTATAAGAACACACCCTGTGCTCAACTGCTGGTTGAAATGTGGTTTGATTACCCATTGACACTTTTCAGCACTGAAATGAAACTCAGCTGTTTGTCAGCTGTGCTGTGTTGTGTAACCTCACGATTTAATTTGGATCGGCATGGACTGCGCTCGTAAAGTTTTACGTGTTTTGCCAAAAAATCCGCAATTATTTAAACGCAGCTTTACAATGACCTCTTCACAACGTGCCAAGGAGGCAATTGAAAAATTGAAAGAGACAAATCCCTATTACTCCAAGTATGCCGATAAGATTGCCAAAGCACAACTAACTTCGGCAGAAGAATTCTTGGATCGGATTGAGCGCGTCGTCAATCCCTTTAAAGATGGTAAAATTCAGGCCAGGTAAGTGAACCTCATTAATGTTACAGACATATATAACAGGAAACATGCCCATATTTTTAGATCCTACTCAGAGCTTTTGAATCCCAAGCAGAAGCTTGCTAAAGAGTCGGCCGAAGTTCCCCACAAGAAGCTAACCGACATCATGAAGATGGAGTTAATCGCTGATAAGAACGCCGATGAGATATCGCAGATATGGATCGAATACCACAAAACCAAGGAAGTGTTGGCTGCCACATTGACTACCAGTCAGTACCAGACATTGACTGAGCGCGCCAAGGAGCATCCAATCTTCCTACTGCCATTGCCGCGCAGCGAAGGATTCGAATTCATCATGTTGCAGTTCGCTGCCAATTCGGTGCACTTTACACCCCTGCTGGCCTACCAGGTGCACCAAGAGAATGCCCCCGAATGCCTCACCTTGGTGCACTACACCGAGATGCAGGACAAGGGCATTATACTGATGCGCGGAGAGTACGACACGAAGGTGCTGACCGCACAGGAGGCGCAGTGCCTGGCAAATGAACTGCAAATGTTTTACTATAAGACCGACGAGAGCAAGCTCAAGCTGCTGGAGACATTCACCAAGCGCCCGGATGAGTTCAAGCACATGGAACTCATCAAGGAAGTTGAAAACATTCAACTGGGCTAAGCAATTCAATATTAAGTAAACGCCAGTAAAATAAAAAATAATCGTAAAACGGAAACAAAACAAGCAAATTGATTAGGCTCCGATTTGTGCCTGCCTTTGGCTTTAATTTCATTTCAGGAAGCAAACATTTATATATAACAGTTAATTATGAATATTTTGCAATGAACATTTAATTGTAATTAACATTCATATTCAAAGTTTCGGTAATTGTTTAAGCTATTGATTTGAAACAGTTGCAACAGAGTTTCAAATTAGTTCTCTCTCCCTCCCGCTCTCAACGAATCGTGATTAGAACAGTTCCTCCTGGCCAACGTCATGGATCTGCCAAGTTGATAAAGTATACATTTAACAGATTTCTAACGGTTATTTCGGATATCCACTTACCAATTCTCCGCCATTGTTATTGTCATTGAATGGTTCAGTATTAACACCATTTAAAAGCATTCGATTGCGGATGGCCTGCATGAGCGAGCCGCGCTTGCCAAACCTCACACGAGCCCGGTCGCCATAGTAGACATCGAGATCCTGCAGATACTTGAGCGCATCTGCCATGGTGTTGATTTCATTGTTGCGCGGTGGTCGAGTCTTGGAGGCCTCCACAATGCAGCCGGCGGCAAACAGAGCGAATGCCACGCAGATGACTAATGTGCAGCGCATTGAATACGACATGATGCGATTAGCTGCACGTGCAACAGAGTTAGAGAGAGAAAGAGAGAGAGAGAGAGAGTGAGAGAGTGAGATATCTAAAGTAACTGAGGCCAAGTGGGAGTGTGAGCGAGAGAGAGAGAGAGAGAGAGAGAAGTGGCTAATGACTGGGATTAAACGAAGTCTGATTGAAAATTACTTATAATAGGAAATTGGAATAACGCGGTATAGCTCGCTACAAAATTGCATTAGCATTAGCTAAGATTAGCTCGGGGCATTAAGGAGAATTACTGGTTGTTCCACTTGTGATTTGCATAACTAAATATCAGTTGCACTCTTATGCAGTTTTTATCTCATATTGAACTGAACCCGATTGCCCCCACACTGTCTAATTAGAAGCCCATTTACAGGCCGGCCCGGCTAGGGCCACGGCTAATACCAGTAGCGCATACTGCAATATCTGGCCAATTTGCAAATTCTGTGCAATTATCGCTTTGTTTATGAAGTTCACAAGCCACCAGATCGCATTGGCATAACTGCAATCAAATTCATCTGACGCAAATCATTAATTGGCCCAAAGAAAGCTGCTGACTGATTGACTAAATTTATTGTTCTAGAGGAGCAGTTGCCCTTCCTCTTTATTATTTCAATTTGCTGCTGCTATCAAGTAGAATAGAAGCGAATTTTTTAGTATATTCAATTATGTGATGAAAAGATTATTATTTTACTCACGCTCACAAACTTTTGCAATCAGTATAATAATAATTTATATACTCATTAGAATTTGAATAATCCTGAATTAAATTCAGTAAACTAAACTTTGCTTCTAGTATGAAGTACTAAAAAAAAAAAAAAAAAAAAACAACAACAAACGAATTTTGCTTTAACATATCGAAATTATATACATATAGAAATATTTCGCACATGCAATATAAGAAAAATATATTAAAAATATCTTTTCAGTTAAAAAACCGATCATTTTTTAAAATAATTAAAAAATTAATAAGAGAACTTAAACAATTAAAAAAATTGTATTTTAAAATTAACTAAATATAATTGAAATATTCGAATGAAATGATCATTTAATAATGCAACTAAACTTAATTTACATTCTTACAAAAACAGGTTAAAAATTCAAATAAATGAAATAACAATCAATTATACATAAAACTATAAATTAATTATAAAAATTCACTAAAAATTTTTAGCTCAACTAAGCTATATCATATTGCACACAAAAATAATCTTTTTCTTTTTCACTTTATCACACAATAGAAAATGATAGGAAAATGTGATTTCCTTTTTTTGTTTGTTTATTATTTAATATCGACTTACCTTTAATTGAGTATTCACAAGTAGCTGACGGACGTATGACACTTGCAATGTTGCACAAACTGTTGCTGCCGCTGTCGCTGCCTCTGCCGCAACAAGTACCTGACGAGCCGAGGGCAAAATTATGAATGATGGACGAGATTGCAGAGCAACAGGCCACTATGGAAATCGGCCAGCGATGGATTGTTGATTGGAAATGATGGGCGTGCTCAACAGGCAGTGGATGGATCCGACGACCGAAGGTAAATGATAAACGAACGCGTACAGCAACAGGCATTTATATAGTCGTCCGCACCATGACCTAGATGTTGCTGCAGGATATTTTGCAGCCGCCAGAGGCAGAGACTACCGACAGAGAGGAAGCCTCAAAAATATTTTCATATGCAACCTAATTATGTTGGCAAAAGTTTTTGGAGCAGCTGGAGCTGAAAACAACGTCAATGCTAGCTAACAAATGCTGACAGTTGGCTAACGAGATATCGCGAAATGCTGAATGTTATTAATGAGAATAGGCATGGCGAAGGATTACTGCCTGCTGGCAGCCCCCCTATCGCCCACCTGAGAGTGCGCGGCCGATATGCAAATGCTCTCTATCATTAATTTGAATTATTTGATTATTATTTAATTGTAGCCAGGGTTTAGGGGCGTCACTTTGGTGACGCCGTAACGGGCAAACGAGTTACCTTTATCTATACTTGATATATTTAATAATATTATTAAAAGGGCATGCCAAAGCCATTGATTTAATTTGGGGTCATTTGATTTGCTAACCGAATAGGTAATACCATATTCCAATGCTCGACTTCTGGTTAGATGCGTGTACGTAACGTCGAATGTTCTATTACGTATTACGTATACGTCGCGGTGCACAATCGGCATATCTCTAATAATTTGTATTGCCCCTCCCCCTCATTTATAGTGTTTTTATTTTCGCATTAACTTGAGTGACCTGGCTAATTGACAGGTAGCATACATAGAACACCTATTAAGTTAGTTCAGTTAGTTTTTTTATGCTCTTATTGCAGCTACACACATATCTGTGTGATGTATGTGATATATCATATATGTATACGACAGCAACAAGTGCAATTAAGCTGGGTAAATATTCATTAGAGACAACCGACTGCGTATTATATTTAAATTTAATTGGTCGACTGCTCTGTTCCTTATTATTCGGCTTAGAGTTTTACTGCAGCTCAACGAGCTTAGGAAGAAACTTTCCTATGTTATTAGTTTGAGCTGTTGAAGTGTTCTGTGATTGAACTCAACTCGAGTTCAGCTTCCACCTTGTCAGCATATCCAATCTAATTGCTAGCTCTAAGCCATTAGGCGAGGCTTAATATCACAATCAAAGCTAACAGTACATTGTCCACTATACAACGCATTAAATCAATGCGCGTAGTTCCGTTTGTACTGTTTGTATTGACTAGTTGTTTGTTGTCGCCGTAAGGGAATTGGGAATTGGGAATTCCCCGCTGTGAGTGCTTCCAGTCAGCCTGCTGCAAGTTTATTTAGTTCAAGGATGCGGCTCTTGCAACAGTTTGCATGCAGCTCATTGTATTGAGGGATTTCAGATGGCAGCTCCACCTGACACTTACTGGCTGAGAAAGCTGAGAAATCAGCTTTCTCACCTGGCATGTGTTAAAATGTTGGCGCATGTGCTTAATAGGGTCACAGCCAAGGCATCGAGTGCGATGACGTTTTTTGTAGCTTAATTTTCGTAGAGAATTTTATGGCCCCTAATTTGATTTCCAAGTACATCCACCGAATACAGTTATAAATTTAAGTAGTATGCAAATGGAGCTTCCCTGGAAGCAAGAAGCGAACGCACGCATCGCGTGCTCGTCAAACTGAAAATTGTGCATGTTGTCTTATAATTTCAAGAAACAGTTATTGGAATATGACGTATGGACTTATGACACGTAGGGCTATCATCCCATATGATTAGATTCATTTAATTCCGTATACCATTTTCACAGCGAACAAATATTTTTATTGTATAGTCGAAACAAATTACGTATATTACCTGTGTTGAAAATTTGATTAAAGTTATAGCGCTGCACTCAGGCAATATATAATTAAATAGAAAACAAAATATATTATTCCAAGTTCTCATAAATCAATTATCAATTAAGGTCAGAGATTTACAATTTAAATATATTAAATTTGAATAAAAATTCCTTGTTTGTTCTATAATTTATTTAATTGATGCTGTGAAAATCTTAGTGGATAATTAAAAGCTCACTGTGCATACATTGTTGACGATAGCTTGAAAACCATTACACAAACTTATTTAAATAGAAGTGACAACTAATTTTCAAGTTAGCTATTTTTACCGAATTATAATGAAAAGTGTTGACAATAGTTGTCAGATCATATGAAGATGAAAGCCACAAATTTACAGCACAGACAGCTGTCATGGCTGATTCAATATATATAACTATATTCCTTAACAAAAGCAAAGAGTGGATTATATATTTAATGTATTTATATTGATTTACTTATCTTTTATATATTGTATTCGCCTTACTTTTTTAAAAGAATTTATAGTGCCGAAAAGTTTCCATATGGTAGAAGCAAAACTGTTTTCTGAGACATCCGATCGGGCAATGTTCAAGGTATAGCCGAAGCTTCGGGTACTCCCAAATAGAGTGCTCTCACATGTTTTATGATTTATATTCCTATTTATATATATTCAAAGCATTTGACATCATTTCCATTTGACCTCACAGCGTTCAATTTGTGAAAAGCTAAGACTTTGGTCTTTAGCTCAGTAATTAAATTTTCAAAAGTTTACGATTTGTTAATATATATGTGCATATAAGGAGATAGAAATACACATATATTATTATTTAAATCTAAAAAAAGACACTAAAAATAATTAGAAATCTTTCTAGAAATGTTTCTAAAGCAAATCTCTTTGAATTCAAATTTAAAACAAGTAAGAAGGCTCTAGTCGAGACTGCTCGACTAGGAGATACCCTGAACCCTCTAAGCTGATATTCTAATCATTCTGCACTTTTATGCACACACACATACACATGCATCCACACGCACGCATAAGCCTGCGCTCTGCTA